TTTTCTTTTCCAAAATACTTAAATAAATTGAAGCATAAAAGAGTACCTCTGAAACGCAAAGCTGACATAAATGAAGAGCTAACAACCCTGCCAAAAGAAAACAAGATTTGATTCTCTCAAGGAAGTTTCCCCAAGAAAGAAAAAATTGTTGAGAAGGATCAAAACTTTGAAACAAAAAGTCAGGCGCAAGGTGTCAAAAATAAATTCCTTGAAAGCTGCTCTTGATCATCTTGAAAAAGAAAAGCTACTGGCTTCTGATGCTGCTAATATTATCAGGCAAAATTTTTCTGGATTGAAAAGTGAATTATTTCAGTCAGAGCTAAGTAACCAGAACCGTGTCTCGAAAGGGCATCGCTATTTTGATGAAATAAAAAAGTTTGCTCTTACCCTTCACTTTTACTCTCCACGTGCCTATGACTATATGCGTAACCTGTTTTCGTTACCATGCCCAAGTTCATTGTCACATTGGACATCAAGTGTAAATTGTGAGCCAGGATTCTTCAAAGATGTCTTTGAATATTTGCAAGAAAAGGCCAAGGATGATGAGTCATATAGAGACTGTGCTTTGATATTTGATGCTATGTATATCAAATCTTGTGTTATTTATAACAAGAGTACTGGAAATTATGAAGGTTTTGCAGATTTTGGTCCAGATATCCTTGCTTTTGATACAGATGATGTTGCCAAAGAAGCTCTTGTATTCATGCTAGTTGGTTTGAAAGGCCATTGGAAATGTCCAATTGGATATGTTTTATATAATGGAATCAATGCAACAAATTTAAGTTCTCTGGTTAATAAAGCATTGGAGTTTTTGTCTTTGTATTGCCTCAACATTCATACAGTCACATGTGATGGCACTGCCACAAACTTTGATGCCATGAGTAATTTAGATTGCACATTGATGCACAAAGTTGGATGATATGGATGGATCCTTTTCTTGTGATTTCTTTGACCATAAATTGTTTTTTGTTGCTGATGCGTGTCATACGCTGAAGCTTGCACACAATGTCCTGGCAGATGTTTAAGTTTTTGTTGATAATGAGGGAAGGCAGATTAAGTGGGACTATATTAAATCATTGCACAAAATACAAGAAGAAGAAGGCCTCAAGTTTGGTAATAAACTTGCAAAATTTCAAAGGGTTACCTAACCCTAACCCTAACCCTAACCCTAACCCTAACCCTAACCCTAACCCTAACCCTAACACATAGAATTTCAAAGGCATAAAATGAATGTTAAAGTTGCTGCCTAGACATTAAGTTCCTCTGTTGCAGATGCTTTAGAATACCTGATGTTGGCTGGCCATCCTCATTTTGCAAATGCAGATGGTACAATAAATTTCATAAGAACACTGGACAGGCTTTTTGATCTTATGAACTCCAGAAGTCTCTTTGGGAAAGGCTACAAAAAACTCCTCTTTCTCCATGACATGAAAATGTGGCAAAAAGTTATTGAAAAGTCGATAAATAATCTTCTACAACTTAAAGTTTCAACTGGTCAACGTCTTTTAACACACAGGAAAAAGGTATTTGTCCTTGGAATGATTGTAACTGCAAAAAGCATTTGCCAATTATCTGAACTTCTTCTCACAAGATCTGAAAATCCATTCAAGTACATTTTAACATACAAGCTGTCCCAAGATCATCTTGAACTTCTGTTTGCATGCATTCGTTGAAAAAATGGATTTAATAACAACCCAGATATTGTACAATTTAAGTCAAGCCTTAGAAAAATTTTACTGAGAAATTCCATCATTGGTTCAAATATCATCATAATCAAATTTACCATAATGTGAGGTTGCCTTTTATACATATAAGTATTTATACAGATAATTTTATACAGATTATGTAAGGTATAATGAAATTTGCAAGGTGCATTATATATGTTTGAATCATGCCAACTGTCTTGCGTTTGAAAAATGTTCTCATTAAAGTGGAATAAGAGAAGTTCACCCCTAAATGAAAGAGCAGAGCTAACAGATGACGATAAGCACCATGCTAATGATCTCTGTCAGAAGCTAGATTCCTGTCACATGTCTGACTATAAAGATGCCATTCTTGCATACATCGCTGGGTTTATAGTGAAAAAAAAATTGAACAAAATCAGCTGCCCTGAATGTGCAAGAGCTCTCTATTTCGATCTGAATGGAAATGATCACAGCTATTCACATTTCTCTGGACTGTTCTTCCTTTTGTTGATAAACGTCCAGAATCGTGGTGGCCTCATCTTTCCATCCAAGGGTGTCCATGACATCATTTGTGTTGCAGAAAAGGCTTTTAGAGTGGCAGTAAGTGGCACAGATTCTAAAAAGGAACAAATTACTTCAAGAAAAAATATAAATAAAATTTTAATAAATATCGTCAATCAACATCTGGCTGGGAACGATCTGTTCCCTTTGCTGAATGAGGACAATATGGAACATGGATTGAATTCAGAAGAAGACCTCCATCCATCCCAAATAAAAAAAAGATAATAGAAAAATATCTAACCATGAGGCTGCTCACATATGGAAAACATTATAGCAAGAATGTCATCCATTAAGACAAGATAGGTGTCAGGCAAAAGTCTACCAAATCTGTTCTTTTTCAAGGAATATAAATGTATACTTTCCCAAATATACATTTACAATGAAAATCTCTTAGAGAAACTCTGCAAAATCTATGTGCAAGGATAAGCTTAACAAGATTGGAATGTTTTTGCAAAAGGATACAGACAAATTTTCAGTCAATTGTAAATATTTCTAAATGATTCATTAAGTTGTTTTAATCATGCAAAATATGTGAGTTAAAACTGGATTCCAATCTGCGACTTTCGAGCAAGCGCTTTAATTTATATGGTTTCACTTTACCACTACATCTATTTATGAAGTTGTCAAAATGATGTCCCACAAACTTAGAAAATACAAAAAACAACTAATATTAAATGATATGTGCGATTTTTTTGCAGATGAACCCGAAATCAATATTCCTTAAAAGGTAAACTTTGCCTAGGCCATATTAATAGTATGAGCACCGCAGCAAAAAAATACTTTAAAAATCATAAAACCCCATTTAACAACACAATTTATGGCTTAAAACTTTTGAAATTAATACGACAAGCTAGCAAAATATAACTTACCTTTCAAAACTATGCTGATTTTCGATAATCTTGGTTTTTCTTCGTCTAACTGGCAATTTCCCATACTGAGCCCTTTTGCAGAATCGTCTTTTTGCCTTTTTACTGCTTGAGTGATTTTGCCTCACCAGCTCAATGGGCAATTATGCCCAGTTAGACATCTAGCGCCTTCGGCACTTCTATATCATTGTTTCAGACGAGCAACAAGCAATAGAGCAGAAAACAACCTTTAGAAACCATTTTGGGTATATACAAAGACCTACTATAACCCAAGAATAAATAAATGTAGTATTGGTCGACCAAGCAATGGCTATGCTGTATCATGAACACGTAAGCAGCCATCCACTTTGTATCGACGCTACCGGATTGCTGGTACGTGATATTAAAGGATTTAAAATAAAACTTTATTATACGGCAGTAGTGCAACATCCCTACAATAACTGTCCTCAACTGCCAATTGCAGAATATGCAACAACCAACCAGGATCAGTTTTCGATAAGAGAATTCTTAAATGCTCTTTGTGAAATGGAAAGCCTTAAATGTGGTAACAAGAACTCTAAGGAACGTTCTCTTATTCTTTTAGATTATAGCATTGCCATAATCAACGCATGTCTTGCAAAAATTTGTCACCAGGCAATGACAGAATACCTAGACTGTACCTTTAGACTAATAGACGGCCAAGCTACTCCAAATGATGTCAATAAGACAATTTTACACGTTTTGTTCATTTCATATGATGCGCTGAAATAGAATATATGCATTGAAAAGCAGCGGTACTGGAGATGATGTTAAGAGTCCGGTTCACTTCCCTATGGGATTCTTTGGCCAGCTCATTAATTGCACTTCTCTTGCAGATGCAACAGCCATTGTCAGGGATGGTTTTGTTGTTCTGAAATCTAAGTATGCCAGTAAGGAAATAAAGAGGCGCTGCAGCTTTTAGAGCAGAGCATAAATACACTTGATCAAATTATTGAAGACAAAGTTAACCTAGATAGCGAAGAGAAGTTTGAAGAATATAAGGTCAATGGTGTAGACCAGGTAGAATTTGATAACAATTAACAGACATCCCAGCCTTACAGATACTGGAAGAAGGTTACTGAGAGCACTTCAAAAAGTAGTAATAAAGTTTCTTTGGAAGAAAACCGGTATTACATGCCAATATACTTCGTTTCAATCCAGAATACAAAAGGAAACTCCCTACAGTAATTACAAACTCTGTAGCTAAACAATTTTTTTCTCTCAAGAAGAGAAATACCTTAGACAGTTTCTGGTTAACTTTATACGCACATCATGGCATGAAAACCAAGGGCTCTAGAAACAGTTTATTGCAGGCTTAAAAGCACATATTTCTTAAAATAAGGATTATTAATTATTGAAAAAATTGTTGAAAAAAATCAATAAACTTCTTCCAGTGTCTGACGAAAACAGTGCAGGAGAAATAGAATTGTTGGAGGACGGTGAAGGATTTATCTACGATAAAGGAAGAATAGAATAAAGATAGACCAATTATATGGAAGAAAAGAGCCGAAAAGGTCTATTGCTTCCAGGAACCACTCGAAAAAAATTGCGATTCAGTGCTATTGAACATGAAAAAAGGCTGAACAATTCCACAACAGGCGTAAGACAAAAAGAAGAATCTGAGAAAATTTTGAACAAAAAGTTATAAACCGTTATTGAAAAATAAGAGCACTCAAAGCAATGAAGGCTATCCGTTTTACAAACGAATCGCTTTCAAATCTCTTTTCCATAAGGACAAGAAAAGAATGTTTAATTTACGAAAAAAGATTGTTAATGGGTGCAATTCTTTATCACCAGACGACAGGAAAAAGTATAATGAATCTGCTAGAGGCAAAAGGAACCAATGCATTGTGCGTAGGCAGGAGGAAGTAGACATTGTTACTCTCTGAGGGAATATGTATACCAAGAAATTTGGACAATTATGAGAATTTGACAAACAAATTTCCAGAAAGATTGACAGCTGCTATTAACTGTGAGTTAACGGTATAAGATTTGTTGACTTGTTGATTTGTTGTGATGATGAGCATTTAACTAGGTGACCATTGCCACATGAAAAAACAACTTCCAAAACAGCTCCACAGAATGACTCTTTCTTAATCATCTTCCTTTCTACTCCACAACTTTCATCATGCCATAGCTCTTTAGCAAAAAAAGGTGTACAAATAAATTTATCTTCTTGCACATTCGTTAACTCTGCTTGGATATCGTTATCCTTTAAAAAGTCTAAATAATAACATGGTTCGAGCTGAACCATATTATTTTTTCCATATCCTTGGATAATGGACTGTTTGTCAAGTGAATTGCTACATCTGATATTATTATTTTTTCTTCTGTGGCAAAACTGCAGATGTTGATACATTTAATGACTCACTGTCAGATGTGTCTTGGATGTCTTCATCACCTGTATCTTTTTCATGCAATAAGAGATAATCATCTCCCATTTTCATTTTTGTGATTTCAAGTCCTTCAATATCATCTTCACTCTCCATGTCACTACTATACCAGTCGCTCAAATGCTCTGTCATTGTACCCTCTATTGAATTTTCTTTTTCTGCTTCCCTACCTTCATCTCCACACAAAGGCTCTATTCCACTTAGTTCTCCTTTTTCTGTCTCCAAATCTATGATCTCATTTCTGCCTTCCAAAGATGTTGAAGGTCTATAAGCAAAAATATTCAATCAGGAACAACCAAATGTATACAATTACAAACATAGCCAACCCTTTCAATAAAAATCTTATTGGCAATATATGATAAGTCAACTATTTCATGATGCTTTGATCCTTGCCGCTCTTGAATGCACGGTTCCCCGATCTCTTGTACATTGCTACCTTATCCTGCAGTCTGGCCTTCTAAATATATATGACACTATAGATGCCTGCTACTAAAATTAAGTGAAAATAACATGCTACCCTTGTTCTACTTGACTGTCTTCCATTGTTCCTTTTCGCATTGTCCTGTCCTGAATCTTAAAAAAATGGTTGCACCAGTGCATGCCTTTGTGCAAATGGTGTTGATGCATCAGGTATCTCATAATGTTTTTTTCTGTTAGAGTCTCTGCAGAAATTAAAAGACAATTATCTTGGGGTAGCTTCAAACAATAGAGTGTTTATGTTTCTGGACGCGCCACATGAAGATGTGCCTAAAGGGTCTCGAAACTAGCGCGGTCGCTACATCCCCCTTGGCAGCAAGAGCGTCTTCATCATCAACTGAACGCTGAACGTGAAAATAGCATAATCGACGTCGAGTTCTATCAAAGAGAACTTTGTGGTAAGAGCCCATTTAATTCTATTCCAAAGACTAAAATATGCTCAAGGATTCTCAATTGATTTTCGATCTTTTGTTCTGATAGGTTTTCTCTTGAATTATCATTCATTTTGTTTTATTTACAAAATAGCCTGCGAGCAAGTGAATGCTGAGAAACAACATCAGACGCTTGTAGCCCTAAAACATTTAATATCATAAGTAGATTTGCACACACAATGTAATATTTTGTTTTAGTTCAAGAACAGGTATTTTATGCTAATACCATTGAAGCGCAGGTAGAAACACAGCCATTTTTGTAGCACATGGAAAATCCGCCTGTGAGATCTCAAATAGAATTTATGTTGGAAAATATTATTGTTGATCCTTGTGTGAATTCTCATAAACTATTTGACAAATTACTCATCACTAATTTGAGCTTGCCAAAGTGTTTTCATTTAGCATTTCTTATTATAGGCAATGAAAAGTGCAGGCTACAACCATGCAGCAACATTAAGCTATCAAATTAACATCTGAAAATCCTGTGCAAATCAAGCACTATTTAGTTTATGTAAAATAATTGAATGCATGGATGGAGATCTTTTGAATATTTTGATATAGCCCTGCAGCAATATATACTGCATTTAAGATATGTCTCGGAAGTAAATTTATTTCGTTAAACTATCCACAGAAAAGTTGAAAATTTCATAGTGGCTTTCTTCATGCCTCATCAGTGTGTTTACACAAGCACTGATTGCTTTGACTTGAAAAATTATTTACTGTACAGGCAAAAAATGATTTGGACTAAGGAGCGCAACATAATGTTGTGTAGAGAAGTGTTGGTGGTGGAACCATACAAATTTAAGTTGGGTTCTCGTGAGCGTGGTCATTGTTGGGACACAGTGGCTAAAAATTTAAATGGTCTCGCCCAACCATCCTTTATGGTGGATAAGAGACCACTTTCTCAAACTAATTAGAGACTTTGAGAGGAAGATGACAAAGGAGCAAAGGGCTAGTGGCATTGCTACATAAATTTCTGAATTAGATGAGGCTGTAGAGACAATAATTGGGAGGATGGAGGGAGCAGAAGAGGACATTGTCCAGACTGATAAGAAAAGAAGTAAGGAAGTTAAGAGAGAGAGAGAAGCTGCAGAGAATATCAGGAAAGGAGCAATGAAGACTGTCGGAGAAAGCAGAGAAAGGGATGTATCTGAAGGTGGTATTAAGAAAAAAACAAAGGAAAGTAAACTAGAATGGAAAGCAATGGGTTATTTGAAAGGAAAGCATGATGAGGAGGTTGATAAACAGAAACTGGAGTTAGAGCTTAAAGAGAGGGAATTGCGTTTTAGGGAAACAGCCCATCAACAAAATTATGAATTAAAAAAGCGAGAATTTGAACTTAAAGAAAGGGAAGGAGAAGACAGGAGAAAAGAGATGGAGAGCATTGTAGAGCGTGAAACAAAATTGATGAGTTTGCTTCAGCAGCAGCAATTACTTTTCAATCAAATTTTTCAGGAAAATCTGCGTATACTTGATTTGCTGAAAAAATTGAGTGAAAAGTAGGAACAAATCAATTTTAGGTTGTCATTACTTAAAGAAAATCAACTTCTGAAGAGTTAACAAAATTATTTGCACACTTGCAACCTTTTATAATGGGATTTTCAAACTCCCTTTTGTAGTCGGTCTTTCCTGGTAGCTGTAAAAAAATTCCAGTTTTCATAAAGAATCTGGTAAACTTCTGAACACTGTTATTTCAAACTCTCAATCTTGGTAAAATTTTGTCAATAATAGTGTAGTTTAGATTTTCAATTCTTTTCAAAACTTTTTCTTTGACACAGCTTTTTGCCATTTGTAACAAGAATCAAGTAAGAGGAAAAACTCATAAATGTCATGTTTCCGTAAAGAAGCATTTTTTCAATTGTTAAACTCTTGTGGTGTACCAATTCCAAATATGGTCCTTGAGTAAAAACATTGGAAAACATTACTTTTTGAACTTAATGATTTTCCTTTTGCTTTTGTTTCATGTAAATATTTTTAATTTATATCTAAATTCTATTAGATATAGTAGTAGAAACTTAATTTGAAAAATCAACCTTACCTGAAATATTCATCAATATTAGGAGGATTCACATTGAAGAATGCTGATGTTGTGGAGCCATATAAACAAGTAAGGGCATTTCTTAAAAGAGCACAAACGATGTAGATTTACCCAACAGCACTCATCCCAGTTTTAAGGTTTTTCTTAAAATCTATAAACTTAAAATAGTGTGCAATTTCCCCAAAAACCCATTCAACAGCAACCCAAACCCTACTCATTGAGGTATTAAAGGCTTGTTCATGTTCTGTTAAAGGTCCTCTTCTTATGATAGGGCATTGCAGGTGAACCCTGTTTGGGTAGGCAGGGTCACCATAGATGCAAAGGGGCTGCCCATCTTCAGAGTAAGAGTGCTGTTCAAGTTGGCAACCCTGACATAGCAAGCATACCAGTGTCATTCCTGCATCCTTCAACAGGTCCAAAAAGATTTGCAACAAGGCCATTCAGAGCCACAATTGATTGAAACTTCAATGCATGGACTATTTTGTGCCCATTGTAAACGGTCCTTTGATTTCCAGTTGATCAACATATTGGCCTGACAGTGCCGTCTACAAAACCCCAGCAATTTTCCAGGGCTGCTCCCTTTGCATGGATGGCATCTGCATACAATTTAAGATTTGCTGGGTATAGGTAAGGTTGATTGATGTCCCTTAGAAGATGTGCGAAGTTGTTGTAAATAGTGTTCACAACAGTGTTAAACATTGTGCACAGCTGCGGGACGGGCCTGCCAAATTTCGGAATCATATCACAGTATCTGCACGGATATGTGAGTCTTTTCAGACAGATGCATAGAGCCTCAACTGCATCCACCTTCCAGCCATTGTCTAGCGTATAAATCTCAAGTAAAGACAACTGCTGTGATAATATTACTGCTTATTAATGGAATGCTTATTAATTTTCAAAAGTTTTTCCTACCCGCAGGCCTTATTTAGACATGCTCCAGGCCAGGCATTTTTCAATTTTGACAAAACAGTGTCCAAGGCTCCAAAATTTGTTTTACGTGTTTACATTTGTTCCTTGAGGAGTTCTAAAATGCCCTTGTCTGCTTATTTAACGCGAAACCTGTTTTTACACATTCCCCACCCCCTCTTATCTATTAAGGCCCCCACTTTTTAATTTTTAAACAAATTTCCCATCCCCCACACTCTTAAGACCCCAATGTATTAAGCACATGAGTGTACCTTTTGATACAACCTTCATAATTATTCAAATTACCCAACAAATAATGTTCCCAAACAATGACTGTATCATCTCAAATTTGAGAAGTTTACATCAAATTCTACTGGCCCCTGGAAAATATTGAAAATTGTCCTTGACCAAGCCTATTTGCCTGCAAAAGTTAAACTATTACCTACTAATAGTTGTTGCTATTTATTCAGTTGTATTATGTCTCTAATTAAGGCATCAAATAACAATCCCTTTTAAACCTTTTATAAGGTAAATTTTGAATATGGCACTCAAAGCTTCTTTTGAAAACACAAACTTCAGTGAAAAAGGTCAATCATTAAAGGTATACAAAATGCTACTTGATATACATATAAAGCCAAAATACACAGGGAAAAACTTAATTTGTTTCCGTTTTAGTCACATGGCACTCTTGACAAGCTTTTCTGCTTCATTTCTGTTCACAATGATCTTTTTTGATAACATTTTACGTTTCTTATGTTTCTCTTTTATTTCTGTGGCATAAGAATGTGATCTAACTCTTAAATATAAATGGATTAGACTTTCAAAAGTATTTGTTGCTACTTCTTTGTGAACATTAAAGTCTACTCCGGCAATGTTACATGAAATTTGTGCCTTCAAAGTGGTATCTTGTAAACAAATTTGAACGAATTTATTTGCATTTATACTTTTGCAAGTACCATGTATTTCCTTGCGAAAATAAATTTCTGCCTGTCAAAAAACATTGAAAGCATTTTGGTTAAACTTCCAGAACTGTCTTTCATATCGATTAATGTTTGTGCTTCATCTGTTTTTGCACTTTTCAAAATGGATAATGTTTGCATTCCAATCTCCGTTGTTGCATTTGAGCTGCTTCTAACCTTAAAATATATTTTTCTGAAGCAGTACCAAGACAAGTATTGCAATGCATTTATTTCCCTCTTCTTGAGAATTATCATATCAGTTCTTGATGCTTCTGCCAAGTTTTCTCCAACAATTGAGTTTCCAGACAGATGTTGCTAAACATATATTTGCTAATTCTGTCAGCTACAACTTTTTTTCATCAGTGTTTAGTCCTGTTAGAGACAAATTTTGACTTGGCAATAACAAGTTTTTTTTTATTAAAAAGGTATCTAGGCCAAGATGGCCTCTGACCTAATTACAACATAAAAATAACAATAAAAGTTAAAAGAATTACTGCTACTTAACAACATCGTCGTGACTGTTAATAACAATAATTCTATCCGTGTTTAGTCGTTTATATTTATTTTTTCCATCTATGGTCCAAATTGACTCAATTCCAAGTTCACTCTTACCCGAAATCAGATCCTTTAACACCTGTTGCATACCACTGGCGAGGTCTTCGGAAAGAGAAATACTTTTTGCCTTTTTCTTTTCCTTCAGGACTCGTACTTTAGTTTTGTGCGTTAAACATTTAACTAAAATAGCCCTTGGCTTACCATCAGACCTTCATCTTCCAACACGATGAACAATGTTGATTTCCTCTTTATCAACGTGTACTCCAATCTCATTCTCTAAGACACCAATCGTTTTTTCTCCCAGACTTTCATGCTCTTCTTCAGTTACAACGTGAACTCTTAATGAAGATTTTCTGCTGTATTGCTCCTGGCCTAACTGCTCAAATTGAATGTTTTTTATGCAATTAAATTGCCAGTCCATGGCATCCTTCAATCCATCAATATCGACAGAATTTTCCCCTTCTTTCTTCCGGATACCTGCCACTTTATCTTGAAGATTAACAAAGTCATATTCGATATTGTCGAGCCTTTTATTGATGGCTTCTTGATTTTGCAAGATTCTGGCCTGACCCTGCTGTAGCCTGAAAAACAATTTGTGTAAATCCTCATTGCTTGTTTTCCCGGATTTCTCTAGATCGATTTTAATCAATAACTTTTTGCTTTTAGCCAGATCCTTACAGTGCGTGGCCGTACTTCTTAGCCCCTAAGGGCGAACGTGAAACTCTTTGATAAAAGCCGCTCCCAAAAACACATCCACTTCAGACTGCGATCACTTCGGACAGTCATCAGAGTTTGTATCTTATGGAAGTTTGTATAGTAATTTTCAGCATTTCCTTTAAACTCTTGAAATATAGGGAGGAAGACCTTGTTGAGTTCAATGCATTTTTCTAAAGATATTTCAAAATCCTTATAACTGTGCCGAATGTCTTCTGGAAAACAATCATCCAATGAAAGTTTCTTGGCAGCTTTCCTGATGTAAGTTCGAATTTCCAATGGATGAATTCTAGGTTTCTCTGAGCATACGTCCACCTGTCCTGGTATGGGATTTCTTCCTCTAATGTGGCGCGCTAATCCTATTATTGTTTTGTATTTCTTTTCACACTTGAAACAGTCAAAGATTTCTGTCTCACATGCCTACAAATATAAAATGGTACAATAAACATTACTGTATAGAAAATTTATAAACTATATATTGTAATGTTATGTTACGTCAGGAAAATTCAAAGATAAGTAAATTATCTTCTGATAATCATCACACTGGGAAGGGTTGTAGGTCCAAGAAAAATATTCAGTTTGTAGACAAGAAAAGAACTTTGGGCTTTCTCAGAGTCGATGTGGGCCTGTTCCTCGGGCCATCACAGTCTGCAGTTAAGAAAAACATTGACAAACAAATGAGCTACCTCTATCTTAAGCTCTTCTATTTATTCATCAACTCCAGTACTTTCATCTAGAATGTCTTCATCACAGAAATTTGAAAAACATCAAGATTGACACAATTCAAAAAGTCGCTGTCATCCATCCCGTTAGCAAGTGCTTCGTCGATATGCACCCAGAGGTTGTTGTCGTTGTTCCCCCAACATTGAGGATGAGATAACAATACTTCAATTATTTGGTTCCAGACTATTGTTTTCTATGACTATGATTCACACAACTGACCGGCCGCCTCTCTATAGGGAAAGGCGTTATCGACGTACAAATTGGTTTAAGTTTGTTCTTTTTGTTTGCTTAACACAATTCTGTATGGACAGTACGATTAATTTGTTAGGTTTAGTCTTTCGTCGAGGTAGTTCACAATTCTTAGGCTCGTCTGTATGGTGATGGTGAGGCTGTGAGTCTTGAAAAGTTTTGTAATGTCCTTCCTGATTCTCTCTGCCTGTGGGCCAGAAGTGTTCTTACTGAGTCCGTCGTTACTGTATCTTTGTTGTCTTTTCCGTATTTTGCGCACAGCTTGCTGAGGATGAATAGTCCAACCAGTTCACAAATGTCCTCGCCATCAAAGCTTCCCATAGTAACATCAAACATATGGCTGTCTTTTTTCGTCCATGTATTTCCTTTGCTGAATAGGAGAGATTTGTGGGCATGCATTATGATGTTGGTATCCTTTTCTGTGATTTTGCAATGTTTCTTGGCGAAGGAGATTGAGTCTGTAAGGAGTTTTTCGGTTATTGAGGGGTAGAAGTTTTCAATGTCGAAGATAACAAATGTATGTTGATGCTTGTTTGGTATGCTGTTGAACCAGTTGATTACAGACCAAGTGTTTTCCATTGGTTTAGGGTAGTTTGGTTTCTGATAGTCGTATTGATTCAATCAAGGATCTGTTTGCTGATACGACCTATTTCACTTTTTGCGGGGTTGATTAGACTGCATGTGGGGTTGTTCTGGAAGTTTTTTTTATGGTCTTTTAGAGTTATGAAATCTAATGTATATATATTTATATATTAACATGTATTGTGGATTGGAAACAACTTGAGACTTCAGTTTGCTTTTTAGTTTTATTTCATACATATTGACACATATAATTTCTTTACAGCTATTCAAGGATAAAAGCCTTTTGGTTAATTATGAGTGTTAATTATTAAAGCTTTGTGTTTATGAAACTTCCACTTTCTTATACTTAGGTGTTCGTGAGTCTGTCTACCTAAATGCCTTCGAGAATTAGTTGTCATTTTGTCATTTCAAGATGTGATATTCATTGGTATGATTGCATTTGGACCATGATTTTATGCAGTTTTGAACATTGTAGTGATAAAGGTCATACATTCTCTACCATGGACTAATTTTACTCATGAAAATGACTTATTGTCAATTGGCCAGAAAATTAGATTTTATTTCAATTTTGAGTACTGTTTGGATACATATTCATACATAGAAAAGATAATTTGTCCACATTTATATCCTGATTCGTATTTTGATACATATTTTCGTGAATTTCATTATGAATTTTCAACTGAAGAGGACAAACTGAAAAATAACTTTCTTGGTGTTATTCTTTAATTTTTGACATTGAAATGATGTGGCAGACATTGATATTTTATCAACTATCAATATTTTAAGATTGTTAGATATTTCATTTTTTCTTAATGATTGTTAATAAAGGTTTTCTACAAAAAGTGTTTCAGGGGCAGGGACTGCAGTATTGTGATTCACTACAATTTTGTTTGTATGACTTTTGAACATTTATTTCTATAATATATGAAGATGAATTAAATGTGGAGTGGATGGAGAAAACATTAATTCAAGGAAACATTAATGGAAGGTCAAAGAAATGACAAGGTGCTCTTTGCTGACAATGTCCGTTTTCAGTTGGCAAAGAAGTTTCATGAGAAGTGCAGAGATGAAATCAATACATTGGTGTATCTTCTTCCTGCAAACCATACTGACAAAGTTCAGCCAATAGATGCTGCCATTGGTTACATTAATGAAAATCGAAAGGTGGCTGGAGATTGATGAAAATCTTGACATTTGGCTTGAGAAGAGTTTCATTGATTGAAAATCTTTGAGTTTCTCGTTCATCCACCTTGAAATTCCAACAGTGTCATTCTGTTCCAAAACATTCTTTTTAAATCCTGGAAATGCCTGATGATTTCTTCCAGTTATAAATTCAAAGATTTTTTTGTTATAAACTGCCTTGAAAGATCTTTTATATCACCTAATGTTATATCAGCTAATGTCTGGTTTTGAATGCCTACCAGATGGTTTCTTCACTGGTGCTGCCTTGTCAAAATTTATCTGATTGCAACTATCACTAGCCCTTTGTATACTTTTTGAAGAACTTTTGCCCTGAAAGTCCTTGCAGTCCATTTTGAAAGTTTTTACATTGTTCTCAACAGTTCTATGATTCTCTAGATTGCTATAAATTTTCCTTGCCTGTTGTTTGTTCTATTCCAAACTAGATCATAAGCAAGTTTAAGGGATAATAGATAGTGCACTTGTGCTAAAGAGAATAAACTGTAAAATGAAAATTTATGTCGAGCTTCTAGTTTAAAAAAGAGAAAGAGAACTTTGTATAAACGGATTATGTGAGGGCCATGACCATGTTTTCTTGCATCTACAAAGTCTTTTGCAAGTAGTCCCAGTGCCATACATTAAAGTCTGCCTGCACCCAAAAATTTTTATTTCATATATCGAAAGCATTGGTTTCAATTATCACAAAACTTCAGTCGGAAATTGAAAATTCAATTTCACCTTTCTAAAATTAAAGTTCAAAGTTGTGAAATTTGCGGAATTAACGTTCCAGTTGCTGCGCGAGCGCTTGTTGATCTGTGACGTCTACCCACTAACATGTTCCTTACAACAACAGTCTCCGCATGTAAACAAACAAACGTCCCATTCAAAAAAAATGTATGAAGAAAAAAATGCCAAAAAGGTGTGTTGCAGGGAATTATGGCAACTTTGCCAACACAAAAGAAGGAATTATCCTTCACGAATTCCTTTTTTTCGTCGACGAGAGGGGGGAGGCAAAGTGACGAAGAAAAAAATGGTTGGACTTCGTCAAAGCGAAGCCAGCAAAATGGGCACCAACAAAGGCTTCAAGATTGTGTTCTGCACATTTCACTCCTGATTCTTTCCAGAGGAGATACCACTTTTTGGAAGGCTTAGACGAAGCAGTTATTAAAAGGCTGAACAGAGACGAGCTAGGGGTTTGTGCGATCCCCAGCATCCATGCCGTGCCCAAAACTACAACCTCAGTCACTGGGCCCTCTTGTACAGCAAAAAAACGACAACAGCAAATGGTGAGATTCATTTATCAATTTACCAATTTATCAATTTATATTTGAAACTTATTTAGAAATTGTTTGTTTTTCATTGCAGACAGTGCGAAGTGCTTTACATGATGCAGTGACTGATGATGACGGGGACAGCAGTATGCAGCAAACGGAAGTGTCAGACAAAATCGAAGAAGATTACTATATGGTAGTTACATTTTTCTTTCAAATGGCTTTTTAAAACGTTGTCCAACTATTGGAAGCCATGACACAAAAACCATTGGGGAAAGCCCCCTCTTTTCCTGCTAAATCAATTATTCAAATCTGCCAAATTTTTGATATAACAAATTTGCAGATTACAACAAATGCATTAACTCAAAATCCACAGGTAGATAAATTAAATAATAATTCCTTCACTTTTGAGTCCAGAGATTTAGTGCTAGGTGGGTTCAGGGGGCTGAAATACAGGCGCGGACACTTGGTCAAATATTGGGGGAGGCAAGCCTATTGTTTGGATATGATGATGTCACATTTTCCCATTGTTTTAGAACAAAAGACCTTCGTTCTCCAAAGTATTTGGGGTGACTGCCCCCCCTCCCCTCATCATTAAAATTGAAAGCAACGCTACTTTGTGTCTCATTTGCAGGAGCAAATTGAAGCAAGTGATGAATGTGCAACCTGCATCCACCTTAAAGAGACAAACAAAGTGCTAGCAAGAAAAGTTTTGTCTTTCGAAAAAACTAAAAAAAACAGTATAATAAAATCAGAAGGCTGGAGATGCGTATGTACTTACAATCTTCTTGTGGAACTCACTAAATATAAGCTCAATATTTGATAAATTACTTTTTTAAGAGAATCACAATAATAAAAACTAATTGAAAATTTCTAATTTTAACTTCATTTAAATTGTAGGAGGGAAAAGAAGGAAAACAGTGGCAAAGCAAATGGCTTAGAGAAGTCAGGGTGAAGGCATGGTCCTGGGTGATTCACGTGAATCTGACATAGAATGTGATATAACGTCAATAGAAGACTATGACGAGGGCGAAGAAGGTTCTGAGCTTGACGAACTCTTTGACAGTTCTGAATATTCTGATGTAGAAAATAATAAAGGGTAAGTAATAAAGAACCATTTCTATCCGCAGCTGTGAGGGGGGAAGGGGGTCGAATTACAACTCTTATTGTTGTCAATCTCATATGTTTTTTAGGCAAAAAGATCATTCAAATGGCAACCAGAGAACAGCTGCAAAATTCATCGTTTTCCTTCCAAAACTGCTGCTTCTATTCAAGACCTGCTTTTCTTGTAAGACAGTCAACCCACAACTTTATACACGCCAGTTAGGAACAATGGTTGAAGTTAAAACTGTATGCTCTAATCTGTCATGTAGTCAGGAAAATTACTGGTCCAAACTTTGGTAACAGCAATAGACCGGCTGGGAATACTTTGTTGTGCATGGCTACCTTGTTTGCTGGTGCTTCCATTAGCAAGATAATAGCAGTTTTTAATCATCTTGAATTGGTGTGCATATCTCATTCTTCAACAAACAAAGGGTGAGTTATAACAAAAGGTAAACTTTATACATTATTGATTTGTTTATAATTCTTTCAAGTTAGATTAAATTAAGATCTTATTTCACGTTTCTATTCGATATTCAATAGAATTCTAATTTGATGTTTGTTTATGTTCTTTTGTTTCCTATTTTCTTCTCTGAAAAGCAAACTTTTTTTCTGATTCTTGTTTCAAAATCTTCTTGTGTTTCCAATAAATTTCACTAAAGTTTAGCAAGCTCATTATCATAAATCATCAAAACTGACTGCATTTCTCAGCAAATTTATCATGAAAATAAACTTTTCTTTTTTGCAGACCATGCTGTTCCCAACAATAAACTTATTTTGGAAAAAGTACATTACAAAAATGATAATGGAAATAAGAGAACAAGATGAGATGGTCATATCAGGAGATTGTCGACACGACAGCATGGGACACAGTGCCAAATTTTGTGCAGATAGCATTTTTTCAAACACAACATCAAAAGTAGCTCATTTTGAGATGGTACAAGTAATTTTTTGTAAAAATGTTTAGTTTCTTTGAAAGAGGGTGATTGATGAAACTACAAGATAGAAAACCATTCCCCATACCAGCCCCTGGTACCTCTTTGGCATTGCTTTGTGTTTTAACAAGGGCATAACAAATTAGTTTCAGCATTGGTAATATCAAGTTGTGACACCCCATACAATACGTTGTTGAAAGCGATTTGTTTCTCAGTCATTGTTTTGAGATTATTTTTCAATTCTTCTCCATAGAGAAATAAGGCAGGGAACAGTACTGGAATGGAGATCCTTGGTTTTAAAAGGGCAATGGAATATTTACAGAATGAATCAGTGAATGTTACCAAACTTATTTCTGATGGTCATTGTTCCATTGCTAAAGAGGAGTACAGTGAAAAAAGTCATTTCTTCGATTTGTGGCATTTGCAAAAATGTAAGAAGCAGTTAAAAATGTACTTTTTCAGGCACATATATATTGCTCAATTTTTCATAATAATTTACTGACCCACAATTTTGGCTGCTTGGGTAAATGTACATTAGTGCAAGATTTACAAAAAGCATGGTCCAAAACTTGGAGTACTTGAATCAAAAAGTTTTATTTCCTTTTATTAGTAAAATGAAGATGAGCCAATTTTGAGGAGCAGATCTTGAAAATCCCTACACTGACACCCTTCTGTGTTGATTGATAAATTGCGTTTCTACTCGGTACTGTTCTTCCTTTCTACTCAGTACTGTTACACTAACTTAAATTAATGCCACCGAGTTTTTTCTCACCCAAATTTTCAAACGCTTGAAAATTCTTCTTTTTCACCAATAGAATTTAACTTTACATCATTAGTTTTACTTTACATCTAAAACATAGCAATTTCCAGTTTATGGTTTTCCTTTGTCATCAACAAATAAAGTATCTAGCTCATCTTTACTTGTTTCCCTTTCGCCCTCTACATCCAAGAAACTTTAGATCCATATGGGCTGAAATAATACTTCTACTGGCTCTTTATAATTCCCAGCAATTATTTCTTTCTAACGTTCCAGCAGTTCCAGTTGGACACCGCAATTTTCAACCCATGCTCGATCAGAATATCCAATCCTCTTATTGTGATTACCAATCAAAAATATTGTGAACTGTAAAAGCTTCCGTATATATTCATACATGGGTTTTATAAAACGAAATAAAAAGGGTGTGTAAATAACACACAACTCTTATTTGCACGTCTTCTTTATTTCATTTTTTTTAACCCATGGATGAATATTCACTGAAAGCTTCTTATTCAAAAGCAAAATCTCCCGAATAAGATATCTACATAAAAAATTTTGGTGCCATTTCACCTACCGACCAGCGATTTTACTAAGGATTTTGTGGACCAACTGATCAACAACCACCTCATGATGTATTTGGGGTGTCACATGCTCTACGCCCCTGCAAGCTACGCCCCCAACTGCATGTAAAACTTAACAAATAATAATTCCTGTGAGCGATATAAACTGATCAGTACTTAAAAAAGAAAATGAAGTGTCCAAGTTTTTATCTACTGGCGATTTGGGCTATTCAAGCAGTCTTACCGTTAATCCCCGAATAAGCAATAAGCAATTTGCAAAAATGACTTTTTTGGTGGAGGCTTATTCGAGCTTATTCGAGCGTGGGGGCTTATTCAAGGATTTACGGTAATGGTCTAGCTCATCTTAATAAGCTTAGCTTTAGCTTAATATTTTCATCTCGTTAACAATAGTTGTAAAATCTCGACATTACACGGGCTTTTTCTCATTTCAAAGTTGAAAATGTTTGCTGTGAAAGATTCCATTCCAATCAAGTTCCTTTTTAAAGTTTGAGTTGATGCAAATCGTATGAATTTTCTTCAGGGTGAATTCTTTGAAGGTCTACCTCGTAATTTTGCTCTACACGCCACTTCTGCATTTTACTTTCTTTCCCGTTCTCCCACAAATTCTATTTGAACTTTTAAATGATATCAAGAAAGATATTAAGAAAAAGCATGGTTGTTATCTAAAAAAGGTGAATAAAATTCGATTCAGAAAAGTGCCTGCAGAAATTCAGACCATCAACTTTTGTGCCTGCGAGCGCCGCTCACGCGCAGTGTAGTCACATGGTAACTGTGCACGTGAAGTAGATTCGCCTCGCAAGTCGCAAGCGTCTCGCGCGCTCTAAGTAACATGGCTGCCAGAAGATTTGCCATTCCAGAGATTGATGAGCATTTTGAAACCATCGACCATACCGCCATTGGTGACTTGTTTGCACGAGTTCGTAGAGGTCGATTGGAGCAAAAGGAAAACAAAAGTTGAGTTCTTTCTAAAAACTCCTTCACTTTTATTTGATATATGTTTTTGGTCTTGAAATTATGCGACTGCAAGCGCGGGTTTAGGCCCGGCTGAATAACTGTTATCATCACATCTTAAACTTTTGGAGCGCTACAATCTAGCTCTTCTTTGAAACTGGAGATGGGGAACAATAATAACTCGTTGCGTTTCTGTAAATGGGGAACAATAACAACTGAAATAGTGAACCTAATAATAGTGATTTGAAATACAGTACGTCTTCTAAGTTCCTTAATGATTATTGAACCATCAGGCTACAAATTTCCTTATGAGTTTTTGTCTATCCTCATAATATTGTAGGTCATCAGAAGTGGATGATCTAAATGGCTCCCTTCTGAACCTATCATTAGAGCCTGACCTTCAGCAAGAGTTGCAAGAAGTGCAAATTGATGCCCATCGCACAGCTCGAAGAACAAACTGCTCTTGCACAGGGAAATGCATAAGGAAATGCCCCTGTGTAAAAGATTTCATAAAATGCAACAGTGCATGCAAATGCATGAAAAAAAGAGCACAAACAAGTTAGAAGAGGTATGCTAACAACGGTCATATTTATTCTTCATTGGCAGTGCCAGGTATCTAAACTTGGGACACAAGAGGTCATCAAAGCTACTGGCTAGGAACAAAGCCTTATCCATTTGTTGAACATATGTATGTAGAAGGGAGTTCAGGAAATGAGGGCAGGGGCAAAAATATGTTCCATAATTATCACATATAATACTGGTTGTAAACAAATCGAATAAAAAGTAGCTATAAACACTTGAATGTGTGTTTTACAATAACAATTGCTAGCTAAGTTTGCTTTTTCATTGAAAATCAACAGGTTGCTGTCCAAGAAGCTGATTTTGGGACAATGGAGAGTGGGGATGATGAAGATCAGCTTGCTGTTCTTTCAGACCTAGAGCCACTTTCATCTTCATGTGATGAGTCTGATGGCAATGAGTCAGAGGTGGGAAATTTTCAGCATAGCTTGGCAAATCAGTGGTCCAAACGTTCAAGTGTCATTTTTCATCAGGAGAATATATATTGATGGGCCCAAATTTTAAGTCTGACATTTTTGAGTAATTTCTGCGTGATACATGATATGATGACAAAAAATTTTTTAACAAACAGGCAGCACACACCCTATGCAATTGCAAAGGAAGCTGCCAAAGGGGCTGTCCATGTAAGTCAGCAAAGAACTCTTGCACAGATGATTGCAGATGTGCAATAAGCAAATGTAAGCAACGTGGTTCAATGCACAACATCATCCAAAGACGTCATCCTACACCAGCTGCACAACGAGACATGGCCTCAGAGCAAGAAAAAAGGTGCCACAACCATCCACTGTTTGAAAACCATATATTGACAGAACACAACTTGGAATTAGCCATGAGGAACAATAGAGACCATCTTAATTTCCCTTTGATCCAAGCAACAATGCCTGCTGGCGTTATACAGCTTACAGGCAATATATCATGTGGGTGTGGGGCCATCTTGGGCGGGGAAATAGAAAAGTGATACCTGCGTGTATTGTTTTGAAGATTAGAAACAGATTTCCAGATGAAAGAGGCAACTACACAGGGTTCATGGATGTTGAGTACAATCTTTAAAAGACTGCAGGAACTATTAGAAAGATTAAACCCTAGATTGTCTGTTCCGTGTCAGCCCTGTCTTCCTTTTTAGCCCTTTTTAAACAAGTTTTTAATGGTGTCAAAAATTAAAAGGTGCAGGCTCTTAGAAAAGGCAGTTGATGTTAATATATTGATCGATAATTTGGTCTACTGGATCAATTAAACAAGCCATGATGTGATATAACTCACTTTTGAGGTCATCAACATTCTTTTGATTTCAAATCAAATACTCGAGGAATTCAGAATTTTTTTACTTTGATTGTGTGTTGGAGCTTGGAACATCAACAAATTTTGTCAACTAACACTTTAAAACAATCTGCATTCTTGATATAAACCACTGTTAATATTGTAACCTTGACACATTCCTTTTGATTACAGAACTGTTTCTATATTTTTTGAAAATAAATGTAGGGCTCTGGGTTTTAGTTAAAATATATGCAATACTTGTTTTAACACATATTATCTGAATGGGAACATCACCTGTTACTTTTATTGTGTGTGATCATTTTAAATGCAGGCTTATAGTGTCCTATTCTTTTTGAAAGAATTATAACTTTTGTTATGTTTAATCAGTCATTTCTTTCTTCTGTCCTTTGCTATTGGACCCAAAGGTAGTGAAATATCAATTATGTTTACCAGGTTTTACAGAAGTCAAAAGATAGATGATACATACATATTCACAGGATGCTTAAATTAGTATGCTATCTTCAGTACAAAACATTAATGGGAATTATCAAAATATCTTCTGAAAAGAATTTTCCTGCTTTACTGCAGAATACTGTACCTGTTATATATTCATACTTCTTAGGCTCAGGGACAGGAACACAGTACCACTGCTTGGTCCTTTTCCCCCATCTTCGAGCATACACCAGCTCACCAGCTCTATTCTTTATTGTCTGTCTATCACAATGGTGATGGTAGTCAAGGTAAGCAAGCTGATGCCTTGTAATGAAGGAATCATTTTTAAAACCAATGCGCTTTGGGCAGTATTCCAAAACTAGACTGTGGAACACCTGATATGAAAGTTAATTATATTATGAGAGTACAATCAGTATGGCTTTAAGTTTTTTATATGGCTTATTCATGCATAATCCAAAATAAAATTTTAAAAAGTAGACTTTGGGTACCACATGTGTAGCTTGCATATACTTATGATTGGGTGAACAAGGAGGCAAATTTCTCTTTAAAAAGTGTTCTGCCTGAACAAAGTTGAATTTATCAATATTCCAAGTGCAACCTAAAAATTGTCTGTGATCAAAAAACAAATCCTACCTCCAGTGTGTCTATTTTGGGTGTAGTACTCCAGTGATTTCAGCCATTTCTTGTCACACATTATTTCTCTCAGTTTTGTCATTGATGAGCTGTCTGGTCTGATGTATGGTTTTGTCCGATCTTGTTCTGTGATCTCTTCATGGGTACAATAACGATGGTATCCTGATATGTGATGCAAAAGTCTGGTCCAGAGCAATCTCAACTTTAACTCGTTTCCATCACAACTTTTACAACAATACCAGAAATTGTTTCGGATGGATAGTATCCAAGGAACAATGTCAGCATGTTTTTGTATCTTTGCTAACTAAAAAGGGAAAATATATATATATATATTATCGAAAACTCTAAAAACTGACTTTGAACTTTTAAAACTGACTTTGAATTAAATGAACACATAACAGGAGAACAATCAACCAACCCAATAAACCTCCATCAGCCAACTTCCTAGAAGTCAAAAGTCACACTACAATATTTTTATCATCTAACTGAAATGGACTGAGTCCAGTCACTGAACTTTTATGTGAACTTTTTTTAAATTTGAAGTGACTGCTGTTTTGGTACGTTGCTGAAAAAGTGTAGAGGAAGCTGCACAATTTCATATATATACCTGCACAATTTCAAAAAAATCTAGCAATGGCAAATGTGAACATATGAAACACGATTTAGGCATAGATTATTTAATGTGATGAAATTTTTGGTTTGACATCTTGACAAATTGTATTATTTAAAATTTTAGAATATCTTGGCAGGACACTGTCAAATGGTAGAGATCCACCTCTAAGGTCAGTGAATGAAAACTAGGTGGTAGCTTGGTAGCAAGCACAGGTCAAGGTTGCTGTTTCTTTCTTATTTTTTTTTCTTATCAGTTAGCCATATTGATTAGCATGTGTGAAATTAAGCAATGCTATATACAGTTACCAACTAAACTAAACTTCTACTATAAGCCATGTTGATAAGCCTTTCCGATAACAGGAAAGTATTTTAGGAAATCTAATTAAATTGGGGCATATTTGCATTTGCCACTTACTCATTAAAGATAGCATACTAGTGTGTGCATCAGTACAAACTTCATCCACCAGCCCATCAAGTTTTTCAAGAATCCAATGCATGCATTTCATAACAAGATGAACCTCTAACTGGGTAGATTTGAGATTGACTTCTCTTTTATCACCACATTCTATTGTTAGGAGCTTTTTACTTTCATAATCCATCAAGGTGTATGTTCCCTTTGAGGCAGAAAAGCCGGGCGAATCCATTCTCCCATCACCACAGATGGTAACTTTTAAATTTCTACATTGAACTTCCTTGATGATCCTGTCTCGTTCCTCATTGAATTCTTGATCTACTGTTGGCGAAACATAGAGACGTTGATTGGTGTAGAAGGAGGTAGTGCTGCTGGAACCAAGATTGCTGAACTTGCAAAATCGTTTGAATTGTGTGATGGAGCCACCAGCCAAGAGTAATGCACCGTCAATGACATAGTTGATTGCAAAACCAGCAGCATAGAAACCACCAGAATACCATACTCCTCTGTGTCCCATTTCACAAAACCAAACCAGCTTAACACAATACCCACACATTTTGTCTTCAATCGATGTTATAGCTTTGCTGCAATGTTGGACTCGGCATTTGCCACCAAGGAGCACTTTCAGTTGCATGATGGTTACAAAGCACTTAGGCTCTGAGACAGCCTTTATTTCATCACCAATATCACCATATGAGACAGATTGGAAATGATCATGGCTGGTAAAGTTATTCTCTGCTGAATTTGACATACTCTCGGTTGTATCTTCTTCTTCTACAGCCTCTTGAAGAAAAGACTCTTCAGCATCCTCCAACATCAAATCTGCTTCAGGCACAAGCTCGTCGTCATCAACTGCCTTGAATTCAACTGTCGTTATTGGTGTTGACTGCACAATGTCAAATTGTAGGATACTTGTCAACATGCTGAAAAAATGAGTTAATGGTGAATACAGCTAACTTTGCAATTGTTTGCATACATTGACATAGTTATTAAATCATTTGACAAATGAAAGTATTCTTGAGGACTGTATTGAAAAAACCACTGTATGACAGGAAAAATAATACTTTGGTAAAACCCACATCTGGAAAGCTCAAAAGATCAGTTATATACAATAATCTTAGTGGAGTGTGTACAGTAATCCCAGTAAGGCCTTACTCTTCCAGAAAATTATCATCTTGAGCATCCTCCTCTTCATTCAACACATCATCATTTTTTACCATTTCTAGCCTAGAATAAATAAAATAAATTTAAGAATGAATTAGAATAACATACTTTATCATGCAATATTAGGAAGGTTGGTAAAAGTGCTTAAACTTTGCTAAACCCTATATACCTGTTCAAAATGGGTGAAGGAGCTTGAAATAGTCATATTTTATATACACTTTTAAGGGGCTACATAAACCATAAATATTGTTGTAAGATGAGTAGAATTTTAGCATACACAAGGTCTAGAACCCAAAATTGGCCCAGGTCACCTGTGTTGGTGGGTAGAGTAATTTTTGTTACACCAATAGTAGAGCTACATGGTTACACTACAAACTAGGAAAATATATATAATTGATTAATGATGTAATACTTACTCATTGTTTCCACTTGGGTTGACGTCTGCTTGTTTTGCAGAAAGATAGGCCTTCGGGCTTAAAAGCGTGTCCACTGATGTTCTGAGGGAAAAATTTACTCAAGAATTTACACCTGTTAGCTTTAAGACTTTCAATAGATAAACACCTACCCTTCTACAATAACTCCTACAATATGATGAAAGTACATTTCATATGGCTTTATGAACAAATCATGGTCTTGGGCAGGGTGCACAATTCCATCTTAATAACAAGCAGATGTTGTTACAAGTGTAATTTGCAAAGCTAAACAGGGAAACAAAAAAAACATTTTGGCATTGCAAAAACCTTTTGGCATGTGGCAAACGGTACTAACAAATGTATCAAAAACAACTATCTTTTTGCAACAACATAACCCGTATCAAAAGATGTCTACATTTGGACTTACGTTGTTGTTCTTTTATGTACTTCTGGCTCAGAAATGGTATCGCCGCAATTCTGCAAAATCCCTGGACATCGGACGTTGTGTTGGCTATCAACTGGGTCTAAAATAGGCCCAATGAGATGAGTTTTGTTTATCTCCATTATAATCCATTTTAGCAGTTTAAAATTTGATTCACAATGGAGACGATTCTTCAAAACATCGAGATCATCAGCAACTTTCTTTGCTTCATCGCCATAGCCGATGAAAAGGGAATATTTCTTCTCGTTTCGTTTCCGTTTTTCACTTTCACAGAGGGGGAGGCAAATTCGTCCGCCATTATTATCGATCGATTATCGCGCCGCGCGTTGCTATGGCATAGAGAATGAAAGTGACCACGTGAAATGGTAGATGGACACTTGTGATTGGTTGATGTTTGATTGACAGTTTGAGCTTGCTGGCTCGGAGCCACTTAAATATGCTCCAATTGCCTTTAAGGAGGTCTGGTATCAACGCATTCTGTTCGAAAGAGGGTATCTGAATTTGAACATAAATTGTTCGATTCCTAATCTATTTCTTGAAAGAAAAGCTTTCAAACTTCTTCTTTCAAATTTTTTTGGCCAAAATGCAGTGTGATATGGCAAAAATATTATTGGCTATCATATTACGAACACATCAAACATTAATGTCTGGCAATGTTGTTAAGCATGGACAGCTTTCCTGGAAAAACACAATTTCAGAACTTCATATACAGTAAAACCTTGTTTATTTGGCCAGACTATGTTATCTGAAAATTGAAAAAGAGTTCTGTTTGTTGTTGTTTAATCATATCCAGACAAAAACTAAGAGCCACCACCTATAACTTTTACTTACAATAACTCCTGTGTCTCTGTTGGAGGCACTGTCCTCAGCTAGTAATAATGAGCCAAACGGATCGTTTTCCTTTCCAACAGTTTCAACAGTCTCTCCTGTAAAATTTAGCTTGAGTCTCTTAGTCTCTTAGCTTTCTGCTCCTGATCAGCAATTTGATTGGGGCTATGAATGGCCAGTCTCTTGACACACAAAATTAACACTTTTTCTCTCTCACTTTGAGTGCAGAATGAACTTGTCGATGGCAGTTTTTGCATGTGATGCGAAAGTGCAGAGAGGTAAGAGTAACTCCCAAGTGCTGCTGCAGCAAGCACCAGATCACCAGCTCTTGTTATGGCCCTTTTTTCGACATCCGGGATTCTAATTTCCATATCGCTGGGTTTGAAATATTCTTGATATCTTGGAGAAACAATACAAAAAAAACCGTTCGAACTTGGATATAAGTATTCCACGAAATGATGGTTTTCCTGAAGCTGCCGTGTTTTATCTGTTGCCATTTTGCCACAATTAAGGATAGAGAGAGACTAACCCTCTTGTAGTTTAGCATACCAAATTCTTGTGGCCTTGCTTTGGCGTACAAGTATTACAAGTCTCTCTCTCCTTCCCTCTCAATTCTCTTTTTTTTCTTTCTTTATTTGTCAGATTACTAAATAGAGAGAGAAAGACTTGTTATGAGTCCATCAATTGATAGGCTGTTCTGTAAAGCAAAAGAGGCAGAAACCCCCCGAATGCTATGTGATCCAAAAACAGAAATGATTAGCAGTGTGAATTCATTTTGCATAGCACTATGTAAATCCAAATTCAGCCTATCTTTCCATTCTCAATTCGAAATATTCGGTTCTGGATAGAAAACGTATCTAAAACTCGCATTGAATATATTTTCTACATGTAACCCCTAAGATCCAATGAGTGATCTGAAACTTGCATTATATATATTTTTCTACATGTACCTCCAAAAATCCTATCAAAAATCCAAATTCAGCCTTTCTTTTAATTCTGAATTCGAAATATCCCGTTCTAGAAAGAAAATTTATCTGAAACTCGCATTAAATATATTTTTCTACATGTACCTCCAAAGATCCTACGAAAAATCTAAATTCAGCCTTTCTTTCCATTCTCAATTCGAAATATCCCGTTCTGGATAGAAAACTTATCTAAAACTCGCATTATATTTATCTTTGTACATGTACCCCCAAAGATCCTATGATAAATTTAATTCATCCTCTCTTTTCATTCTCCATTGGAAATATTCCCTTCTAGATAGAAAACTTATCTAAAACTCGCAGTAAATATATTTTCTACATGTACCCCTAAGAGCCTATGAGTTATCTGAAACTTGCATTATATATATTTTTCTACATGTACCCCTTAAGAGCCTATGAAAATCCAAATTCAGCCTCTCTTATCACTCTCATTTCGAAATATCCCGTTCTAGATAGAAATCTTATCTGAAACTTGCATTTTATATATTTTTCTACATGTACCCCCAAATATCCTATGAAAAATATAAATTCAGCCTCTCTTTTCATTCTCAATTTGAAATATCCCGTTCTGGATAGAAAACTTATCTAAAACTCGCATTAAATATATTTTCTACATGTACCCTCTAAGATCCTATGAGTTATCTGAAACTTGCATTATATATATTTTTCTACATGTACCCCCAACTATCCTATAAAAATTATAAATTCAGCCTCTCTTTTCATTCTCAATTTGAAATATCCTGTTCTGGATAAAAAACTTATCTGTAACTCGCATTATATATATTTTTCTATACCTACCAACCAAGATCCTATGACAAATCCAAATTCAGCCTCTCTTTTTATTCTCAGTTTGAAATATCCCGTTCTGGAAAAAAAACTTATCTGCAACTTACATCTTATATATTTTTCTACATGTACTCCCTAAGATCCTATAAAAATTATGAATTCAGCCTCTCTTTTCATTCTCAATTTGAAATATCCCGTTCTGGATAAAAAACTTATCTGAAACTCGCATTATATATATCTTTCTACATGTACCCCTAAAGATCCTACGAAAAATCTACATTCAGCCTCTGTTTCCATTCTCAATTCGAAATATCCCGTTCTTGGTAGAAATTTTATCTGAAACTTGCATTATATATATTTTTCTATACCTATGTCGGGAATCGTATAGTTAGCAGCGACAATAAATCACGAATCTGTTCACATAGATCTTTAATGTTTATGACGTTCACGATCAACACAACTACTACTACTTCAACAATCTCGACTGCTTTTATACCTAAGTCTAAGAATGTTCTAGCGACCGCTGTCATTATTGCGTACCATTTTATTACAAGGCTTCTAAAGATATTAATTACGTTATAGCTAATTTGGGATACCCTCAGAAAGTTCATGAAGGTTCCCGAGGTACAATTACGTCAATAAAACGAAAACGAGGCTATGTGTTTACATTAGGCCTAAATAAGCTATTATGAAGAGCTATTTTGAGGGATTACAAACAAGCAAAAGTTCTAATATGTTCTGGAACGTTCCACTATTTCAAGCTAAGTACAATGTTTATAAAGAATCTTGACACTCTCCCCCCATTTGAGAATTGCATTGTTCTCAAATGTACACTTGTCAGGAAGAAGCCCAATCCGCTGCATCACCATTCTACCAGTGGCTCTTCGTTGTCTGCATCTGTCTGATTTGCTATTCTCATCCTAGCAGCTACAGCTGCGTCTCGTTTTGGTCTGAACTCTGTGGCCTCTACGTTCAGTTGTTTCGTCCCCGTGTCTGGAGTAGGTTTCTCGCGTGAGCTGTTGCACTGAAGCGTTGATTTGCCAACAACTTTATACAAAACTTGTTTGACCAGCCCAACCATTCTTTCGAACTGGCCACCCCACCAAGGGGCTCGGCTTAGGTTGAATTGCCATCTGACATTATGTTGAGAAAGAAAGTCCTGTACGTGTTCATTTCTCTGCACATTCTTTAACCATTTTGCTGCTGCCACAAAGGTCAAAAAGTTATCAGAGTATATCTTTTCCGGCCTGCCTCTTCTTGCAATGAACTTCTTCAGGATTGGCAGGAATCTCTCTAATGATTGATCTGGAAGTAATTCGAGGCAAATGGCACGAGTAAGACTGCAGCTAAACAGAAGAATGTAAGCCTTACCCATCCTTTTTTCCCTTTTCTTGTAGTACAAGGGTCCAGCATAGTCCAGTCCTATAACTTGAAACGGCCTATCACCTGTCGTACGTTCTGTTGGTAGGTTTGCTTGTGGAGGCTTCCAGAGTGGCATGGCATGAAACCGCTTACACCCAAAGCAGCTACGAATCAATTTTTTGGTGAGTTGTCGCAAATTTGGTACCCAGTAGCGTTCTCTAATCTTTGTAATTGTTAGTCCG